TGAGGCAGGCGCCGAGCCAGAGTGAGTATGGGGAAGGCAGTTGCTCGCAGGAGGAGGTTGTGGGAAGAGGCTAACGGTTCGTTTTACTGACATCTGTTTGACTTAACATTCAAGCACAAAACAGCCAGAAACAGAGCGTTTTGGCAAAGCTTAGACTAGTCTTCATAGTGGGTTTTTTTTTTTTTTAATTCAGGAAACTTATTTCTTCTGTTCTGGCCTAACCATCCAGAGATAAGGGTTACCAAGAAACAAAACCTAGCCTTATGTAAACATTTTAATTGGATTCTCAAACAGTGTAAAGGTGGTCAGCATCAACTTCCTTGTACACTGCAGCAAATGATCCATCTTTTATAAAATAGCCCTTTTGGCATCTGTCCAGCAGAGAGCAAATTAAATGGCCCATTAAGCACTCAAATACTATAATAACTAATAGATTCAAGGACAGACTGGTTCGTGATCTGTGTGTGCGTGTGTGTGCACGCGTTTTTTCTTTTTTTAATTAATTGAATGACTTCAATAAAAAGTACCCAACAGTGGAAATTTCTTCTTGGAGAAGTTCAGCGAGGGTCCATCTGAGTGAGCAGTAAGGATTCTTGTATCTCAAGGACTCACAGATGTCTCAGATTTAACCAGAATTAATGACATATAGCATTAAAGTTTCCAGTAACTGCAGCCAATGTTGCTTTAGTATCATGTAACTGGGTATGCATTGTAAAATTCAACTGCAGCTTCTAAGAAGCAAGGAGTAGGCACATAAAATGAATCCAACTTAACGCAGAGTATCTGAACCATTATTCAGGATATCTTATGTTAAATTAGTCTCATAGAAAGCCTGTTCTTCCCTTCCTTTTCAACTGTGCTTAGCACAAAGTTTCCTGTCAGAAAGAGCTCTGATTGCTTAGTAATTTGAAATTTGATCCCAAATTTTAACTCCTATTTTAATAAGGAGGAGATAAGGATTTAAGGGTTAAAGAAAGCGGTATGTATTCACACATCAGCTTTCTTAGTTCTGCAGTGCCTCTAAGCCTCTAACCTTTCCCAATCAAGTCTTACTTCTCCCTTAAAGAAAAAGGAAAACTAGCCAGTATGCCTTATGCCTCATGATGCACAACTGCTAATACTGCTTTTTGTCTGTCACGACCTCGCTCTCCAGCTAGATAACAGGCTTCCTTTCTCTTCTCTTTCCTTCCTTCCCTATGCCAATGTCGAACCCAATAGCATCTTCTCGTTCTGCTGCAGGTCACTAACTGCATTTCCTCCAGGTCTTAGCCCACCTCTCAGCCATCCA